GGCTAGTATGCCCTCGTGTAAGCAGAGGGGGAATTCTAGCTTTGAAATGCTAAGATAAAACCGGCAGGTAAATGCAAATTTTCTGTTACAATGTCTCATTGAGAAGCTTCAGCCAAATCTAACTCATCTTTCTTGGGTCTGTTAGCTGAACATCTCTTTCCCAGCCACTGGCTGCCAGAAGCTCATTGAAGTGGATGATGAGCGCAAGCTGAGAACGTTCTATGAGAAACGGATGGCGACGGAGGTTGCAGCCGATTCTCTTGGTGAGGAGTGGAAGGTAAGAAGCACAGAAGTTTGTGTCAAAGCTGTATTCAGGGATCTGAAGTTACAGAATTTCTCCATTATGCAGTTGTCACGCTAGAGTGTTCATGTGCTCTGTATATGGCAGGGACGGTGCGAGCTTCTCTTGCTACATATGCTGAATTTGGTGACCACGCTGGTTCTGCTGTGATTTGTCTAAGTGCTTCTTAAGCTTTGTGTTTAATAAGAGTTTCTTGCAGCTCTTGGCAGTATTTTTTGGTCTACATTTGAGTGCTCTCTTATTCAGTACAAGATAAACGTGTACCATAAATTTGCTGCATCCTTCTATGCTGAACAAGTTCAAAGCTACCATGGATGTGTTTAAACTGCTGCTAGTGCATGGGGAGAAAGCATGCTGGGCCTGGTGGGTTGGCTTGGAATAGCTCATTGTCAAAAAGGGCAGTCCAGCTGGATTTGGGTAAGCTGTTCTTTTCTGCTGCTGCCCCCGCAAGGAAGGCAGTGCAAGGCATGCTTTGCCTTTTTGCCCGTGCGTCCCCACTGCAATTGCTCCGGCGCTGTATGTGGAGCTCCAGTTTGTGGCAGCAGGCTGTCGTTAGGTTTCCAGTTAATGAGGAGTTGTGTACTTGTGTTTTCACAGGGCTACGTTGTCCGTATCAGCGGTGGCAATGACAAGCAAGGGTTCCCCATGAAGCAGGGCGTGCTGACGCACGGGCGTGTCCGCCTCCTGCTCAGCAAGGGCCACTCCTGCTACCGCCCCAGGAGGACCGGGGAGAGGAAGCGCAAGTCTGTCCGCGGCTGCATCGTTGATGCCAACCTGAGCGTGCTGAACTTGGTCATCGTGAAAAAGGGTGAGGGTCTGGGTGAAGCGGCCCCCAGTAGGAGCAGGCACTTGCAGGAATCCTGCTCGCTGTCGTCTGAGAAGTGCTGTGGTGGGATGCAGACAGGGTCCCAGCTGTAAAGTGTGCCTGTGCCTTGGCATTCCCTCTAAGCATTGCGTTCTTGGGACTGGAAAGCTGGTGGTGGCCAAAACGCTTCCACCGCTGCCAGCGACCCCATCACATCAATCAGCAACGTGTAGCTGGGGGTGGTGCTGTGGGCAGGCAAACCGCCAGGATTATTAATTAGTAGTATCTAGACTTATGCATTTTAAGCTTGTAACTGAAGTTCAGTAAAGAAGGAGGTGTTCGTGAGATGCAGGACTGATTGGCATGTTTAAACTTACATTCTGAAAGGTGAGAAGGATATTCCTGGGCTGACAGACACAACCGTGCCCCGTCGCCTTGGTCCCAAGAGGGCTAGCAGAATCCGCAAGCTGTTCAACCTGTCCAAGGAGGATGATGTTCGCCAGTATGTTGTGAGGAAACCTCTCACCAAAGAGGGTAAGAATTCAAACTTCGTGACTGATTTCATGCAATGATCAGCAAAGAGGGGTCCAGCCTACTGAGCACGCCACAGTAGTAGGTCCAGGAGGTGATTGTCTTGGCATTTAAGCTGTGTTAGCTGTTACTTATGGATGTGGAGTTTCTTGACTGCCCCATTTCTTTCATGCCCGTCCTTCCTTTTCCATGCACTTCAGCACAGTTTTTATTTAAGTGTTTGATAGAATCTAGAGCAATACTTGCTAGTGGTTCTAAGAATAATCAAAAAATAATAGAGTAAGGTCAAATAGAAGGTGGAATGTTTTTGAAACATTTTTATGAAGGGAGCTTTTTCATAAAAGCAGTATATAAAGAAGGTACTGAGATTTTGCCACCCTACCCCATTGCTTATGTCAGTCTCTGAAATGAGCTTTTATTGGGAGGGCACTGTTTGGCTTGCCACCTATCTTGGTAAGATTTTAAAATCATCAAGGGGTGAGAGTTTTTCATGGGAAGGACGTGATAAAGCTTGGGCACTGTGAAAGCTTTTGGGGCAAAAGACTGCTATTTTCTGCATCACAGGAAGTATTCTGTCCATTAAAGAACATGATCCTGGTGGACATCAGACTGTTGCTTCTGGCTGGTGAAGCCAGGCAGCCTTGAAGCAGTGATATGTTAGATATTTCTGTGCTGGTGTTTGTTCAGTGTTAGCTGTGTGCATCTGCTTTTTGGTAATACACCTGTTAAGCCTATGTGGAATTGTAGAGGGCTTTTCAACACTGAATACGTAATGTCTTGTTCTGAAACTCAGGTGGTGAATTTCCATATTCTTTAAATGTTTTAATTTTAAGGGGAATTATTTAAGACAGGCCTGCTGAGAAGGTATGAGTCTTCAAAAATTGCAGGGAGTTAGAGATGTGTTACCTGCACATCACCACTGATAACAGGTCACGAGCACTGGGCTGCATTTTGCTGATGTTACATCTGACAGGAATTGATGGCTTTTTCTGCAAAATCTGTCAAGAGTTGAACTGTGTATGAATTTCTGTGATAATGCTGCAGTACACTAAGTGATACTACCGTAGCAGTAAACGGAATTTACTCTTAAGTTCACTAGATGAGGCCTCAGGCCTCTCTGGGAGGTCATCTGCCCCTTCTGCTGATAGTCTTGTTTTTTAGGCAAGAAGCCCAGAACTAAGGCTCCCAAGATCCAACGACTGGTGACTCCTCGAGTTCTGCAGCACAAGCGCAGGCGCATTGCTTTGAAGAAGCAGCGCACACAGAAGAACAAGGAGGAGGCAGCAGAGTATGCGAAGCTGCTGGCCAAGAGGATGAAGGTATGGTTGTCCCTACACTCCAGCTGTATGGAACATGTTGTGCCGTAGAACTGAGGGGTTTTGTGAGCTTGCCTGTGCACTCGGAGCTGCTCTGTGCCTAGCTCATTGTGAAC